AAGATCATGAAGTTGAGGAGGAATAGAGGCAGGAACATGGGAGGAGTTATGGGACCTTGTGGGATGAAAGGGATGTGAATACAGTACATTCTTGGTGTTTAAAATACAGAAAAAAATGCCAAGTCAAGCACACAGTGACTTAGGGGGCTGCATCAGGTGTTTATCTCCAAGGATGAGTTCATATAGTATCATTATTATTGTTATTATTAGTATTATTTTGCTTTCTCCTGTAGCTGCAGGTATCACTTAGAGAAAAAATGCCAGATGAAGAACATAAATAGCCAGGGTGCATTTGGTTCCTATATCACAAAACTATGATGAGCAAAGAGTGCAAAAAAAGTCCTGGAGGTTTATTGCATCCTTGGAGACAGCCTCTTTGGGTCAGGGAGGCCTAGAACTATGCAAAATTACTGGGGAGATACATCACAGTTACACAACTGTATGGGCATGCACAAAGTAAATTGTCATTGGGGAAGAAAGAAGTGTCCTCTGTTGTCCACAACTTAGCATGGCACTAGAAATTTGGCCTTGCTTATTCTTACTGATGATAAATTCTTTTGTAGAGCATCAGCAACAGAGAAGGTCATTCCGTGACCATGATGCATCAAGGCAGTAGTGATAAATTGTGATCATGTATGAATACAGACTAAATGTGAACAACGTCAAAGCCACAAAATAAAAACTGACTAAGTAGCCCCTATCTAGCTAGTGTAAATGGCTATTGCTTTTTCCAAAATGATGGTTGTAATGTCTGGCTGATCTTTGCCATTTAAAAAAAAAAGTAAAAGAACTTAATTTAAAAACCACCAACGACTTTTCCTGACTTTCTGAGGCATACAAATCCAAAATCAACCCAGATATGCTCAATATGTCCTGCTTTGGCCTAGAGCTTCCTGGTTTTAGCACGGAAAGCCCAACATCCTGGTAATTGCTATAATTTCAAGCCAAGTAAGATGGTTAGCCAACGCCCTGCTTCCTGAAATCACCTAAAGCATGTGCAGTCTTGAGGAGATCCTTCATGGTCCCTAACAGTGCACATTTGTCTTTTGTTGTACTGAGTGATAAACTCAACATGTTTAAAGTACAGGCCTTCTTACATTTTATTTCTGCAATTATAATGCAATTGCATCACTTCTTCATTGATTTGCCTACCTCCAAACCCTCCTGTATACCATTCAAGAGAAAGGACTAGTCAGGCCTAGTGAGAATCTGGAGCTGAATTAAAGGGAGGAGGAACCAGAATGGAGTGAGTGGTTAGGATCATGAGTTGCAGGTACTAGACTGCTTTGCTGAAATGGTGCTCTCCAGTTTTGACAAAGCTCGAGGGGGCAGAAAGTCAACCCCTATGCTCATATGGGAGGGTGCAATGTTCCTTCCCCCTCTGTGGCAAAGCAAATAGAAGAAAACACTAAGGAAAAGGCAGCACATACAAATTCGCTTCTCCTTATGTTGTGAAATAAACACTCTGTGTTACATGTATCAACTGCATCACAGGTAGTTTCTCTATGAGGGCCATTTCTAGGAAGGAAGAAATCCTTCCTAGTTAGCAGTGACAATACCAACAAGGACAAAGCTGAAGTTACTGGTTTAATCATTCACAGTTGACATCATTCATTGTTAAAGGTACAATACTTGTTGAAAGAAAGGTGTATTGTTATATGCCAAAAATGTTAATTATTGCAGTTATGATTTTTCTGTCTTTTCTTGTTTAGGTTGTTATTTCAATTGACACATAAAAGCATAAAAGTTATATATGCTAATGAGATTTATGATGTTTTGATAGATATACATACATACATTCATACATACGTATGAGTAAATCTTTAACCCCTTAAACATTTATTCATGATGAAGCCATAAAAATGTCCTTCTTTTGCTTTGAATACAGCTCACAGCATCTTGCTATCTCAGGTCCCCACTGTGCAATAATAGAAATGCAGAACTTCTCACATCTAGCTGCAGCAATGTTTCTCTAGCCTTCCTTACTTCATTGTTTTTTTTTCTTTTTTTCCTTTCTCCATTTCTCTTTCCTCATCATTCATCCCTTCTTCCTTCTCTCTTTTCTCCACTCCGCTCTCCCTCATTTTTGATATAGGATCTCACTGTGTAGTTCAGGCTGGCTCTGAACTTATGATCCTCCTGTCCCTGCCTTCCAAGTGTTGGGATTATAGCCATGAATCACTGCCATCTGGCTTCTATGCTAACTTTTTAGAGTACGCTTATTTTATTTTGTATCTGTTTTGAAGTGGGGTTCTCATTTTATTTCGTATATTGCCCTCAAATTCTTCATTCCCGGGCCTCAGTCTCCTGAGCAGTTCTGATATCAGGGGTGTATCATGATACTTGGCTTAGCATGCTTAATTTCCAAACAGATTAGTGATCTTTAAGAAAGTGCTGCTCATGCAAGTATCATATAAGTAGTAGTGCTTCCTGTTAAAAAGTCTGTTCAGAGACACATATTAGCATGAGGGTCTGCATGTCTTTTGAAGAGCTTTACCATGAGTGACCTGTGGTAAATATTTTAAATTCAGCAGCAGGGCACTCATATTTCACACAATATTAGTTTCCACTGTACACTTGCGAAGAGAGGTTCAAGAACAGGACTAATATTTACCTAGATGCTGTTTGTATTTTTAAAACAGCAGGAGAGTCAATGATAGAATATGGTTGTGCACAGGCAAAGAAACCCGGAGCACCCAGGATCTTGAAGCTCGAATAAAAAGGAAGTCTTTGTTTGTTTCCCAGACTAGGCATAATCTCCAATCTTCACTAGAAAACCGCATTACTCTATTTCTGCAAAGTCCAAGGACATATAAAGTAGACAAATATTCAGCGGAAACTAATGAGATTGTTTTAGCTTGAAAAAGAAATGTGCTCAGTGGAACCCCTAGCAGTGCCTAGGGCAGATTACAGGAGATAGCGAGTAGAGTGCTGGAGTGGTTTTACTAACTGGGTGCTGCTGAAAGACTCTTCCAGACGATGGTCCTAGAGTCAGAAGAGGAACAGCCTGCCTTCTGAACAGTGTTAGGAAACTTCCATGTTTCGGGTGCTATTATTAATCTTTCCTTTTCATTGTTCTGAAATCTGCTTAAATCTACTTGTGTTATTTTCTTATAGACAATTCTTGCCTATGATAAACACCAAAAGACTGAATTCAATTGCTTATAGATCTTTCTCTGAAATAACCCTCCCTCGCAAGCCTTCTGGCTAAATCTGGGGTAAATAAATACACATACCTACTCACAGTATAAATGACTGGGTTCTGAAGTCTACTTCTTCACAACTTTAGAAAAACATTTACTTTTCTGCTGTTTTAGGTTTTTTAAATTAATTAATTTTTCATTTTATGTGCATTGCTGTTTTGCCTGCAGGTACGTCTCTGTGAGGGTAGTAGATCCTCTGGAACTGGAATTACAGATAGTTGTGAGCTGTTATATGGGTGCTGGGAATTGAACCCAGGTCCTCTGGAAGAGAAACCAATGCTATTAACCACTTGGGCCATCTCTCCAGACCCCCAAAACCATTTACTTTTAAAGTGAATTCTCAGAAATACTTTCCCTTGTACAGTAAATAAAGTAGATGCATTGGTTTACTAAAGAACTCATTAGGACACCTTTCCAAAGGAAAAGCTTTAGTTCTGATAAGAATTATTCTTCTGTGGACTTTCTAATGGGGAACATTTCTTATGGAGTCATTTACATGTATTCATCCCTTACATAGACCCAAATCTTCGTGTGTGCAGCAGCGTCAGAGACTCCTTTCTGCCAGTTTCACCAGCTTACAGTCTGCTATTGTCTAATAGTACTAATGGATCGGTTTTACAGTTTCATGGAAACGCACAGAACCAGTTGCCGGGAGACAGTGAAACCAGCTGAGAAATTTGAAATAACACCGAAATTGACATGTTATTTGGATGTTGACAGAGGTAAAGGCACAGCATATTAAAAAGCAGTTGCATAACACATGCTGAAGAAACTAATAAAGGTATGTAAACCTGAAAGTAGGAATCATTTCACTAGGTCTTCCTGTCCTTGGGACAAATTAAGAATATTGACTAAGAACAAAATAATTGCAAGTAGTGCTGGGCCAGGAAACTTAATGTAAAATTGTAAGACTTAATTTCTTTGCCAGATCGTCCATTAATTCTAGACGGGAATACAATTTTAAGTCAAACGTAAACATGAATTCTCTCAGGACTCAATCAGGACTTACCAAAATTTGCCATCTGTATTGTCTGGTTGCCAGTCTTCGGAGAATTGAAAATCACAACTGCATCGGCATTCCTTTTACTCGCTGTTTGAATTTTTTCCGAAAATGTGCAATTACCTCTTTCTATCAGTGCGATCCAGGGCTTATCAGTGTTAGTAAATTCAGTGTTCTGGTCACAAGCTTGATAGTTACTGTCCTTAGGGATGCCCACTTCTCCCATAGCGTTCGCCACTCGTGAGGCTAAGCCGTAGACACCACACTCACATGTATCTGTTATGGTATCGTTGCTGGTCTTGTTGAAGTAAGTCACAGTCACATAGGCATTCGTTGAAAACGATGCTGTACTTTGAAGTAAGAAGGCAAAGATTGCCAGGCAATGGAAAAAGCTGTTCTTCGTCTTCCAATCCATTGCTTGTTCATTTGATCATAAAACTTAAGATGTCTGCAGATATTTCCAACTGTCAGTCACCATTGTCCACTAATGTCCTCTCTAAACAGAAGTTTGAAATTTCAGTTGCAGGCAGGTAACTGATCTCAGCTCCAGCAACCTAAGCTCTGACGGCAGCAGCTCTTGCTCACTTTATCTACATTCCCTTCTGCTTGTCCCTCCTCCAGCTGGACACACACAGACTCACAACCTTTAGCCAGACTCTCTTTGGAATTCTAACACTATCAACTTTACTCTGCATATCAATATATGAGGATTGGATGACTTCCTGCCGTGAATTTTTTCTTCTTACCGTTCCAGCTAATGCACTTTCATAAACACGGAGTGAATTGGAATGAGGAACTGGACTCTTGGGAATCCCACGTGACAAGTCTGAAAGTCACCTCTCCTGGAATATTTCAAATACAAACCTGGTTTTCCAAGCCCTGCTGAAGTATGCTATCAGCGATTGAGCCGGGAGTAAGTTCAAATCCCTACTTTTAATTGCTTTGGCAATAGTAGAAAGGATTTTACTACCTCTTCCTCTCCACTTTTCTTTGTGAGTTATTTTGTAAGAAGGTTCCCCAAGGAGTAGCCTCTGTTACCTCGTTTACTCATTAGAAGTAAACATACTTCGGTAGTTTGCAATCTCTTTGAGTACAGTGCCTTGCCCACGGTAGACAATCAAATACTTGTTCATTGTTATCTACAGGCTGCTGGCTTCCATAATTTCCCCTCAGGTTTTACATTCTGCAAGGTAGTGTTCAAGCCTTCATTTTCGACACTGAGAGCTTTTACATTCTTCACCCCCTCCCCCCAATGTATAGACAGGTTCATTTCACTGCCTTCTTTGTTTCGAGCACGGCTTTAACTTGAGACTACAATAGATCCTGGCAGCAGTTGCACACACATTGCCAGAACGTCAAAGGGTCCAGGCATTTTTCTGGGATGGGGAGATTACAATGTGTGCTAAGGGCTGCTGAAGGAATAGATGAGCAGACAAGGCAAACAAATGTCAGGAGTCTCATTGGGCCAAGAGTTAGCAATCTATACAAACAGACATCAGGCTGTTGGAAGAAGCAGAATGCTACCAGGTGAAAATGAAACTAGCTATACTGGCGGTCCAAAGTCCAAGGCAAGTAGTCAGGAGCACTGGGGGAATCTAGCAAACAGTCAAACAGAAAAAAGAAAAACTGTTGATGGGCAGGAATAACAAAAGTGTTTCTTTTTGTCTTTTCTTGTGTAACTAAGATATTAATGTAAACATATTCATAATAGAATTAATAACTACGGCTGAATTGAAAAATGTCAAGGCCTATGTTCTATTCAAAAGTAAACACAGGATGTTCATAGTTTTTCTGTGGACACCACCATGTTGGTGTGCTAAATACAACGGAAATGATAACACGGGAAAGTTATTATTGCTAATATGTTACTGTCCCAAACTTTCTGATGGTCAGTTATTAGTGGTAAATTTCCCATCAGCATTCAGTATTGAAGAAAGTTAATTTAAACTTTTCTATCAGGAAAATGAAATCATTTAAACATAGATTCATGGCAAGCTAGTGAAATACGATGGACGTCAGACTTCGGTGATCCCCAAACATTCCTTTCAACCCACATTTTCCTTCTGGACATCACTCTGTGCCTTTCAAACAAGATCTCCCAGAACATTTTGTGGCAGAGCTGCTGTACCGAAGACAGTGTCACTAAAGTTTTCGGTTAAATTGCTCAGGTGACGTGCATGACTTTATATGGTTACCAGAACTATATAACTTGTATATGAGCACATTTATGTTTGCATTTTTATGGTATTTTTATAGTCACAACTTTGATAATTTTAAATTGCTCTTAAAGCTTTCGTGGTTGAGTAAGACTTAACAGAATAAAAATACTCAATTTTCACTCTAACTTTTAAAGTAATTTGTGGGGAGGTATTAGTCATTTCAGCGCTTGTTTGGTGGTTTTATCGTTTTATTTGGAGAACACCTAAAATACAATCCTTCAGAAAGTTACTAGAATGATGGTTCATGGCTCCCTTACTCCAACATCCTGCATCAGGACCTGTGGGGATGGGGGAGTGCAAAAAATTGATTTTATTTTATTTTACTTTGTGGTGCTGGGAACTGAGACCAGGGCCCCGTACATGTCAGATAAACGCTCTATTGCTGGGCTAGACCTTTAGTACAGATTTCTCCTTTTAAGGAACACTTCTAGGTAATTCCTATGCACAGAACCTTGCGTTTCATCTCTAGCACCAAAGAATCCATTGTGGTGGTCCATTTTCTGTAATCCCAGCACGTGGGAGGTAGAGGCTGGCAGAACAAGGTTCAAGGTCATCCTTGAATATGCTGAGTTTGAGGCCAACCTAGCATACATGAAACCTTGCTTCACAAGACACCTGGATGCTTATTTGTATTAAGCTTGATATTCTGAGGATTTATGAAGTATCTGACACACTACACTTTTCACAAATGCCAATTCTACAAGTAGTGTCATATTTTTCTGCAAATACAAATCTCTCTGGGACCCTTTGTCTTCATTTGTACACAAAAGTGGGTCAAACTAAGATCTACCTATAATACTTTTACCATATTTAACAAGATAAACCTAAGAAAATGAAAGTTATATGAAGCTGAGAAAGAAACATGCTGTGGAGAAGCCCAGAAGAAGCTGATATGACCAAAACACATTGTATATGTCTATGAAACTTTCAAAGCATACAGAAATATTATCTTAAAAATGAGCAAATATACTATTGCTTGTGTCGTTAGCTGCACAAGACTGGGCCTTGCCAACATTTCATGGGGGCGGGCATGAGATTCTATATTCTCCCAGTTGCTGGGCACTGAAAAGTAGCCCATGTTCCAGTAAAAAAGCCTCCATTCATGCTCATAGGAGCAACCTTAATCCACTGTGTCATATTCAAATTAAGATGAGAAAGCTGGAGGGGGACTTCTTAGAAAGAAGGAGGGCTTCAGTAGAAGAGGTAGAAAGAGTAAGAGTCAATCATGAGGGTGAGAATTACTAAAAATACTATATATGTATGAAACTAGAGAAATATACTTGCTTGATATTTTTACCGAAACTATGTATGTATGAACATAGGTGTGTATGTGTATACTACTGCAATACAAACAAGTAGGTCATTATATTAAGTGATTTTTATGCTCATTTTGATTATAATGATCTATTAAGTTGGTATTTTAATAATTGTAAGATGTTGTTAACAGAAAAACACATTTTCAGAAGCATATGGCTATAATGAAAAGACATTTTTGTGTCCTAATAAGCGTTCTAACAAACCAAAGGACCCATAGAACTTGATGGGTCCATAAGTCAAATGTTACAAGTAAGGAAACTGAAGTTTAAGTAGATTTCCTCATGATCCCACAAGAGTGGTGCCTGGATTTAAAGCTGCTTAGAGAGAGAGAGAGAGAGAGAGAGAGAGAGAGAGAGAGAGAGAGAGAGAGAGAGAGAATAAAGGCAGGTAAAAAGTTCAGGCTAGAGGTAGCATTGATATAAGAACAAGTGGCATACACTTTCTTTTCTTTCTTTCTTTTTTTTTTTTTGTTTTTTTCAAGACAGGGTTTCTCTGTGGCTTTGGAGCCTGTCCTGGAACTAGCTCTTGTAGACCAGGCTGGTCTCGAACTCACAGAGATCCGCCTGCCTCTGCCTCCTGAGTACTGGGATTAAAGGTGTGCGCCACCACCGCCCGGCTGGCATACACTTTCTATCTAGTGTTTTTGTGTGTGTGTATGTGTAGCTGTGACAGAAACTCAAATATAACCTTAAGTGACTAAAAACATCACATAATCCCCAAATCTCATTTTTACCTATTTTCAAACATTTTTTTCCTAAATGTGTTTTCCTAAAACAAGTGATCACTGAAATAATGAAGTGCATCTCAGCTCTCATTAATTTCCCTACATAATCTTTGGTACTCAGGCGTATGAGAGAAAGAAGAAAATGCTGAAGGGACCTGAAAAGATGATCAGTGAAACAGCAAGCACAAATCACAAAATGACTTCAGAAAAATAAACATTCAGACAAGAGACAACCTAATGATGGGAGAATGTCTTGGCAAACTACACAGCTAACAAAAGATTAATATCAAGGTAAAGAATTTCGAATTAAACACAAAAAAGCCAAATCGACCAACCTATACATGATCTAATGATCTGAATGGAGAGTTCTTAAAATAAGAAACAGAAATGGCAAATAAATACTTTAAATTGCTGACCTCAGCCATCAAGAAAACGTAAATTAAAACTACTGTGAGATTCCATTTCTCCCAGCCATACTGGCTACCATCAAGAAGACAGAGGGCAATGAATACTGGAAAAAATGTGAAAAAAAAGTGGAAACCATATTTACTACTGGTAAGAATGTAAATTAGTCGGAAGTAAATTTGTGCAGCCTGTATGGAAATGTGTATGGAGCCGTCTCAAAGCAATAGAAATAGAACAATCGCAACCAAGATATACCACTCTAGGGTATAGAGCCAAAGTATCTGAAGTCCACAAAGCAAAAGATACTTTATGCTGCGACTGGGACTCCAGTCTAGAGACTCTGATGTCCTCTTTTGGACACTCCAGGTGCAGGTGCCCTTACTAACATGTGCCTATACCTCTTCCCCATCCCCACATAATTAAAAAAAAATAAAGAAATTAGAGCTCTGCTGTGAAGAGGCTTCCCATTTAGTCAGCATTTAATGTTAATCATTCTTTAATAAAAGTTGCTTAAAGCAAAAATAAATTAAATACACATATTTGGCAGAGAATATGCTTTCAAATTCACCATCTTGCCCGAGTATTTTCATGTCTACCTCTCATGTGCTATTCAAAAATTAGAAATTCTAGGGAAAGACTATGGTCCTTAAGTACATAGTATTTTGTCATTCACCAACTGACTTGTTTCTTGGAAGATGGCCTCACACTCGTATATTTGAAATTAATATTCTTCGGATGGTAGTTTGCCACTTTCTTTCGGAAACAGCTACAGCAAATATTTACCTTCTGCAATAGCCAGATATATGAACACAGATGTTTAACTCTGAATTTTGATAAATATATTATATATATATTATATATTAGTAGAATATAAATTTCTTAATATTTTAAAAACATTTGTGCTATTTTATGTATATGAATGTTTGCCTACATATATTCATGTGTCCCGCATGCATGCTTACTACCTACACAGGTCAGAAGAGGGGGTTAGATACTCTGGAACTGGCTTTACAGATGGTTGTGAATCAATATGTTGGTACTGGGAACCAAACCCTGGTTCTCTGCAAGAGCAATAAGTTCTCTTAATCACAGAGCCAACTCTCCATCCCCAGCCCCTAGCATATAAACTTCAATATAAGAACAAAAAGTATGCCTGTGTAGAGTTTTTATATCTTTGTGCCTTTCAATTAACAGCTATGTCAATTCCCCCTTATGCATGTGGTTCTAAAATCAAATTGCCCTTTAAAAATAAACCCCAAATCCTAAATTCTACTTGAAAAATGACAGTCTTGAAAGCAGTGTGAGAAAATCACCTTGGATCACTTATAACCACACGCACACATATATGTGTGCCATCCAATATGGAAAACACACATGAACTGCATTCAAAATGAGACAGGAGACCAAAGAAGTTACTGCATGTTAACTTATTTATTACTGCTATGAAACTAATAACATAAAGGAGTCACAGTTTAACCCTCAATACAGTTACAAAGAAAACTGAACACCTTTATGGACAAAATGCAGTATGCCTTTAAGTTTTTAGGCTTCCTATCACATTAAAACTGTATAGCACATGACATCGCAAAATTATAGGGCCATAAAGAATGCTTCTGAGTTTCTACCTCAACCACAATCAGATTCATCTTGATACAGAAATATTTACTCTCATTTGACATCTCACTTATTTAGCCGCATGGGTGTCAGACACAGGTCTTTACAAAGGTAGAGTGATCATTTACCTTTAAAACACAGTAGAGAGCTAGACCGAAACAAATTCTGTTACTTACTGTCCTTTTATTTTCAATATAAGCACTTTAGATATTAATGTGAGATACAATTTCCCTGTCTAAAATCACATCACATATACTGAAATTGCAAATAAACATAGGAATGTGGACATACTGTAGTCTCTGGCTTTAACATTATACAATGGTCAAAATACTTAAAACTTCAAGGTATTGGAAATTGGTTGAAAACTTATACAATAATGTCATTCAATATATTCATTTTATAGCAAATGTAGAGAAGGGAGGGCAGTTGGAACATTACAATCTGTATGTACATTTCTGGACATGATAGGAATTACGTTGTTTGAGCAATGGACTGAGCTCCCAAGGTCCAAATGAGGAAAAGAAGGAGGGAGAACATGAGCAAGGAAGGCAAGACCTTGGACTGCCCACAGGGCAGGGAACCCTGACTGCTCTTTGGGCTGACGAGGGAGGGGGGGAGTGGGGTGTGGGGAGTGGGGTGAGGGGGAGGGAAAGGGAGGCGGGGAGGAAGTGGAAATTTTTAATAAAAAAATTTTACTAAAAAAAGAAAAAAATATAGGTGATCACTTTTGGAGAATGATAATTTGGTCTTTAAATTTGTAAAGCAAGATTTATCACCATATGTGAATAAAATCAGGGGGATGTTAAATTGTGTTGGCCAGGATGCATTGTACAGAGATGTTGGAATAAAGATACACTTTGCAGAAGGAACAGTATAACATCAATTGTTACAAGTAGTCACACACTACTGAAGAAACTTTTGACAGAAAATTGTCTTGATGGTTTTTCAATAATGAATCTAATAATGAAGTGAGAATGTCAAATACAAGATGAACTGAAAACCACTTAACTTTAGAGTTCTTGGAATATTCTGATGAAAATACCAAGAAAAGAATAGATTCTCTTTAAAGCAGCATTCTATATATACCCTATAATTATTTTGTGTGCTAATCTTTAAGAAGCCTATTCTGGGGTATAAATCTTATGCAAAAAGACCTCCCCTTTATTGTTACCCAAATTAAAGATATCCAAGACACAGATGACGTGGACTCTATCCAGTTCAGCTGCTTCTTTTACAATATCACCTAAAAGTGAAAAACAGATGGTAAGCATTGTAAAATAGTTAAATATTTACTTGGATTTATAATCACACAAACTGATGATCTTTTTCTTACAATATTAATGGTGGCTCTAATCTTCTTTGTAGTTCATCACATGCATTTATGAAACTTCTCCAGACAGAAAGCACATCTTTCAATAGGTGCAGTCAATAATATTCTTACATGCATTTCCTAGAATATTTACTTTTCTGTTTCCTTTTCTTTTTTACAGAGTAAAGCAAATCTACGTATTTTCAAGGTCATAGACAAACATCTTAGATTTTTAAAGAAGTTTGAAGATTAGCTATCTTTTTTTATTTTCTTCTTTTTTTTAAAGCAGCAGAAGCATAGACATTGATGTTATGACTGATACTAGTCTTTTTAAAAAATATTTCTTATGGTTTACTAAACTTTATTTTATGTTCATTGGTGTGAAGTGTCAGATCCCCTGGAACTGGGTTTTCAGACAGTTGCGAGCTGCCATGTGGTTGCTGGGAATTGAACCCCGGGTCCTCTGGAAGAGCAGTCAGTGCTCTTAACCGTTGAGCCATCTCCCCAGCCCCTAGTTTTCTTATTTTTATATGCAATTAATTATTATTTTGGAAAAATCTACAAGGTCTACAGCAAGCAGCCAATGTGTCCTATATATTTTAATTTCTTTTATACGCATGTTTATAGGTGAATGTGCAGGGAACAGTATTCTTTCAAAGTGTATTTTTTAGAAGTCAGACAGCTTTGTATACTCTCATGAATCTTTATTATTTCTTCTTCAAAGAAAGTAAAAATGAATTTTTCTTCCATCTCTTCCTTTGCCTTGACAACTCTAGAAGTCACATTTTCCTGCTGGGTTAGCAAGAAGAAGGGAACAAGCTAGGTTCAGGAGAAGGGAGTTGCTGACTGATTGATTGCATTACACTTCAGCAAGAAACTGTACTCGTGCTCAGCCACTGTGGCTTTAGAGCTGCTTTGTAACAACAGCACAGTTCAGCCTACCGTATACAGTGCAGTAATTCTCATCTCTGAAAGCCATATAGGGAACCCTCGTTACACAAAGGATAAAGTGTTTTCTAAATATATGAACATTCTTCTGTATTACACTACAGTTATGAATTGTTGTTCAATGGGTACATTAACAATAATTTCATGTATACATATATATGTACATATGTATATCCTTCTACTTCATGATTAAAATTACACCAAGAAATATTTTATATCAGTAAGATTTGCTAAATGATTTGTGATAAATGGCTAATCATTTGTAAAATATAAAGCTAGATCCTTATCTCACCTTCCATTTGAACTAATTCTAAATGGGTTAAAAATTTAAACTGACAAAGCAAATCCCCATTAATGACAACTTCCCCCACTAAAAATTAAAAGGTGAGTAAAGGACCTGAATAGAAAGTTCTCCAACGACATACATGTGGCCTAATATGTCCATGAAAAGATACTGAAACTATTAGTAATTATGAGAAATTTAGAACTAAGAATACCACCTGTCCATTCGTACAGCTGTAAACAAAACAACAGACTTCAAGATGTCCCAAATATAAGGGTACATGGGGGAAGGTCTTGAGTTTGATCCCTGGAATTCACAGAATTGAAGAGGAAAAACTGAATCCTACAAGATGTCCTCTGACCTCCACATGTACCCCATGCCATACATGTGTGTGACACAGTGTGTGTGTGTGTGTGTGAGCACAGACACATGCATGCACACACACACGGACATACAATTTAAAAATAAACTTTTAATTATTTAAAAATTAAACAAAACAATCAGAAATTAACAAATTTTGGTAAGGCTGTGGAGAAACTAGGCTATGCATATATTGCTGGTGGGATATGTTAAATAGTGTAATTGCTATAGAAAACAGTTTATTTCTCAAAAACTTACACATAAGCATATCATGATATTGAGTAATTCTATTTCTAGGTATTTATATGCACCTGAAGAACTGAAGACATGGATCCAAAGGCATGCATGTATACAAATGATCATAGTTGAATTATTTACAAGATCCAAAATTGTAAATAGGCTAAATTTCTAGAAATTTAATAGATGAATGGATAAACAAAATGTGATATATAATCCAATGAGAAATCATTCAGCTATAAAAAGGAATAAAATTGAGATACATATTCTAACATGGATGAACTCTGACCATGTTATGCTAAGGTAAACAAGCCAAAAACAATAGAGCATTTATTGTATGATTTAAATAAAATTCCTTTAATAGGGCAATTCATACAGAAATTTGAAGAGTTACCAAGGAGTTAGGGGAAGAGGAAATGAGAATTACTGCTTAGGCTTCTGGCATTTCATCTCAATAAAAATATATATGTAAGAAAAAGAAAACTATAAAAAATACCCTCAAAATAGCAATTCGGGTATATGCATGTATATGTGCATGTGTGCATGTGTTTGTGTGTGGAGATCAGAGGTCAACCTTAGGTGTCACTCCTCTAGAGATAAAGAACCTTGTGAGATTCTCTCACTGGGGCCGAGTACTTGCTGAACAGTTTGTGCTGGCTGACCTCCAAGCACCCAGGGATCTGTCTGTCTCTGCCTCTGTCACCAAGCCCACATTTTACATAAATGCTAGGGAATCTAAACTCAGGTCGTCATGAGTTTAGACATGAGTTTAGTACAGCAAGCACTTTACTGACTGAGCCATCTCCCCAGAATGGGAGTGAATTTTTATAGTCTTGAATCAGTTATGCCTTTGAATATGACATAAAATGAGGAACCACAAATATATCATTATTTAGCTGCGTACTTAGAATAAAATTATTTAAATACCAAAGTACGCCTTCCTTTCATTAATTGTCAAACTGGGTAAAAGTATTTTTAATATACAATGAAAGGTATTTTTTTTTCAATGTGAAAAGACAGGCCACAAGTTAATAATAACATGAATAATATTTGCTGGGTGGTAGTGGTGCACACCTTTAATCCCAGCACTCAGGAGGCAGAGGCAGGCGGATCTCTGTGAGTTTGAGGCCAGCCTGGTCTATAGTGCCAGGACAGGCTCCAAAGCTACACAGAGATACCCTGTCTCGAAAACAAAGAGAAATAATATTTGTAGAAAAATGTAAAAAATGCTAGCAGTGAAATTTCTAGAAAAGACAAAAATAAGCAAATAATTATGTGACTTATTTATACATAACATGCCTGGCCTAGCTGGAACCAATCTTAAACACTTTTTTTTTTTGATTTTCGAGACAGGGTTTCCCCATAGCTTTTGGTTCCTGTCCTGGAACTAGCTCTTGTAGTCCAAGCTGGCCTCGAACTCAGAGATCCGCCTGCCTCTGCCTCCTGAGTGCTGAGATTAAAGGCGTGCGCCACCACTGCCCCAGCTTAAACATTCTTCAATGGGGGCCCATTAAAGCAAATTTTGATTTGGTCACACTGTAGAATATTTTGTTGTTCCTGAGTAGAATGTGGTAGCTCTTGCTATAAAGGCATGAAAAATTTCCAAGGTGTACTTTGGGGGAGCTGATTAAAAAACTGTGTCTATAGAATTCCAAAATACAACATCCCTTCATGATAAAGGTCTTGAGGAGAACAGGGATACAAGGAACATACCTAAACATAATAAAGGCAATATACAGCAAGCCAACAGCTAACATCAAACTAAATGAAGAGAAACTCCCAGCGATCCCACTAAAATCAGGAACAAGACAAGGTTGTCCACTCTCTACATATCTATTCAATATAGTTCTTGAGATCCTAGCTAGAGCAATAAGACACCAAAAGGAGATCAAGGGGATACAAACCAGAAAAGAAGAAGTCAATCTCTCATTATTTGCTGATGATATGATAGTTTACATAAGCCACCCCAAAAATTCTACCAAGGAACTTCCTTATGACTCATAAACATCTTCAGTAATGTAACAGGATACAAGATTAATTCAAAAGTCAGTAGCCCTCCTACACAGATGATAAAAGGGCTGAGAAAGAAATCAGAGAAACATCATCCTTCACAATATCCACAATTAGAATAAATTTATTTTAGAGTAACTCTATGGAAGACTTGTATAACAAGAACTTTAAATCTTTGAAGAAAGAAATTGAAGAAGACACCATCAAGTGGAAAGATCTCCCATGCTCTTGGGTAGGCAGAATTAACACAGTAAAAATGGCAATCTTACCAAGAGCAGTTTACAAATTCAATGCAATGCTCATCAAAAACCCAGAAAAATTCTTCACAGACCTCGAAAGAATAGTATTCAACTTCATATGGAAAAGCAAAAAACCCAGGATATCCAAAACAATCCTACACAATAAAGGAACTTCTGGAGGCATCACAATCCCTCACTTCAAACTCTATTACAGAGCTACAGTACTGAAAACAGTCTGGTATTGGCATAAGAACAGACAGAACTGAACAGAAGACCCAAATATTAATCCACACAACTTTGAACACCTGATTTCTGACAAAGAAGCAAAAAATAGCAAATGGAAAAAAGAAAGCATATTTAACAAATGGTGCTGGCATAACTGGATATCAAAATGAAGAAGAATGAAAATAGACCCCTTCTATAACCATGCACAAAACTCAAGTCCAAATGGATCAAAGACCTCAACATAAAGCCAGCCACATTGAACCTTATAGAAGAGAAAGTGGGAAATACACTTGAACTCATTGGCACAGGAGAGCACTTCCTAAATATAACACCAACAGCACAGACAATGAGAGAAACAATTAATAAATGAGACCTCCTGAAACTGAAAAGCTTCTGTAAAGCAAAGGACATGGTCAACAAGATAAAACGACAGCCTACACAATGGGAAAAGATCTTCACTAACCCCACATCATACAGAGGTCTGATCTCCAAAATATACAAAGAACTCAAGAAATTGGTCATCAAAAGAACAAATTTTTCCAATAAAAAAATGGAGTATAGACCCAAACAGAGAATTTTCAACAGAGGAATCTAAAATGGCTGAAAGACACTTAAGGAAATACTCAACATCCTTAGTCATCAGAGAAATGCAAATCAAAACAACTCTGAGATTTCATCTTACCCCTGTAAGAATGACCAAAATCAAAAACACTGATGACAACTTATGCTGGAGAGGTTGTGGGGAACACTTTTGCATTGCTGGTGGGAATGCAACCTGGTACAGCCCCTTTGAATGTCAGTGTGTCGATTTCTCAGAAAATTAGGGAACAACCTTCCTCAAGACCCAGTAATACCACTTTTGGGTATATATCCCAATGCTCAATCGTGCCACAAGGACATGTGCTCAACTATGTTCATAGCAGCTTTGTTTGTCATAGCCAGAATCTGGAAACAACCTAAATGCCCTTCAACCGAAGACTGGATAAGAAAAATGTGGTACATTTACACATGGAGTACTACACAGCAGGAAAAAATAACGACATTTTGAATTTTGCAGGAAAATGGATGGAGCCAGAAAACATGATTTTGAGTGAGGTAATCCAGACCCATAAAGACAATTATCATATCTACTTACTTATAGGTGGTTTTTAAACATAAAGCAAAGAAAACCAGCTTACAAACCACAATCCCAGAGAACTCAGACAACAATGCAGACACTAAGAAAGACTTATATAGATCTAATCTACATGGAAAGTAGAAAAAGACAAGATTTCCTGAGTAAATTGGGAGCATGGGGACCTTGGGGGACTGCTAAAGGGGGAGGGGAGAGGCAGGAAGGGGAGCAGAGAAAAATGTAGTGCTCAATAAAAAAAACTATGTCTATAGAATTCAACTTATGTGCATTTATTTGATGGAAAATTTTAATTTAATCAGTAAACATGGCAAACAAGTGAGAAAGAATAGACATGGGAAGACAAGGGGAACTTTCACTTTTAAACAGCATTTTTCTGCAACTGTTAGAAATTTTAAATTATTACTGTGTATAGCCTTTGTGATTAAAAAGAGGGTCGTGTTTACAAGATGACAACAGTGAGGCTGGGCGGTGGTGGCACACACCTTTAATCCCAGCACTCAGGAGGCAGAGGCAGGTGGATCTCTGTGAGTTTGAGACCAGCCTGGTCTACAAGAGCTAGTTCCAGGAAGGCTCCAAAGCTACAGAGAAACCCTGTCTCAAAACCTGCTCCCCCCCCCAAATAGATGACAACAGTGTTATCCCATGAGCCACTGCTTTACATCACGAAGCCTATTTGATCTCTTACATTAGAAGTGGGAAAGGAATGGGAAAGTTTGGAATTAAGCAAACTTTCAGATTCCAATCCTAGCTCTGTAATTCATGTTGGTGAGATACTGAGTTCCAGTGTAGTCACCCTTAAATAGGGGGTAGCAGTATTCACTGTGTCAAGCTCTCTATGAGCATTAGTTAGTTGAAAGGCCAGGCACACTATTCAACACAGAACGACACCAACACTATCATTTTTACTGCTGTGCCATAAAAAAAGTGATATCTCACTCACAATGAATCACTTTGCTTTTTTTCTCCTCTAGTGATCTGTGTCCTTCATGTTCAAATATTAACTACCTAGCAGACTGGTACCAGGCACTTTTCATGTGACCATGCTAATGACGGCTGGGAGAATACTGGCACTAGTCATGAGCAGATAAGTGAGAACTCTGACCTACAATTGTATATCAATAATTATATATGCATACACCAGAAAGTATGTGACAGGGTAGATATGACATGAAGGGAAAATATGAATACAGAAATATTTCCACTAGTTAGGGGATATAAGACTACTGAAAGCCCAAGGGGTTGTAATATAGGAAATTATATTACAAATTAATTAATCATCTCTAAAATAGGAAAAAAATCCTGAATCTCATAAATTTAGATACTGAAACTCAGTTTGTACAAGCAGGCATGCCAAGTGACATCATCAAGAAGACTTAATAAGATATGCTCCAAATCAACAGAGCTTCCAGAGTTTCATCAGTTTGGAGGAACACACCAGAAACTTGCAATAAATGGCATTCTTAAATGCTCTCTCAACTGTATTATCCTGTTGCACTCAATGAAAATGACTAGAAGCTTTACCACTTGCTCAGGAAACAGAAACTACAACAGAATAAACAACCATCATTGCAGAGTTAAGTTTTTTTTTTTTTTTTTCGAGACAGGGTTTCTCTGTAGCTTTGGATCCTGTCCTGGAACTAGCTCTTGTAGACCAGGCTGGTCTCGAACTCACAAAGATCCACCTGTCTCTGCCTCCCGAGTGCTGGGATTAAAGGCGTGCGCCACCACTGCCCGGCCCAGAGTTAAGTTTTTAAGCACAGAATGGAGAACTTGATATTGTAGGAAGAAGCATAAGTAGCTAGAGTTTCACTATTGGGCTCACATATAGTCTTAGCTGTCCTGAAGGAGCAGAATGAATAAATAGCACTTGAATAACCAAACATTTATGAGAAAACAATTATTCTGTAGAATTGCTAGCATATTATAATTTGAGGGAATTATTCAGCAAAAGTATAAAGGACAAAAGGAAAGATTTACACTAATTCATGGACATACCCTATCAGTCTGATGAAGTAATTATAACCATAAAAGGGTTCTTTATGGCTCACTGGAATGGAAACAAGCTATTTAATTTATTTAAAAGACACACTCACATTTAAGTCTTAGGGGGGTACACTTAGCAAATGAGTTAAGGCTACAGTAGTTTAAATAATAAAAATTGAGAAAAGGTGACGATTCTTTATAGTGTTTTTTTTTTTCTGAACAAAAAGAATAGTTACCTGCAACTGCCTTGGAACCTGGCAGTTTTTCATGGCCAGGTGCTTCTGGTGGGTACACACAACTGTAATTCATGCAGGTCAAGAACGTGTCTATTTGAGATGTCCTCACATCCTCTGGAGAGTACACAGGTAGGAACGCAACATCAATCGCAATCTCATGGTTCAAACCTGTGAGTGAAAGATCACACATTGTTAAATGTTTAGTAGATTAGCATATTTTGCTAGTTTCAGTTTCCTGGTTTGATCATAATGTGTGTCTAATAGTTTAAGACCTGTAAAAACCTGTTTACCCACAGGGAACGAAACTCAAATTGATTTTGATAAGCTGTACCTTCTCACCAAGGTTGCCTGACAATCAAAAGACCCTTTACTATACCTTAGCTCTATACATTTTATCTCTGTATTAAGTTAAAACATTAAAGAGCAAAATTTATGGGTTATAACATGATATAATATACTCATTTGTGAGATTTATTTAGATATGCCTCACTGTTATAGGTGACTATCTATGTTATAAACTTAAGGTAGGAATAAAGTATCTCATATATTTTCATTGCTTTGCAAATCAAAACTAGTTGAACATAAGAGCTCATTTGTAACTGTGTTAATAATAACTTTACATGGTATATTTAGACTTAAATTTTTTCTGAATTAAAAAATATTATTCTAATATTGAATACTTGTTTTCTCTGAAATGAAAGTGGTTAAGAGACTCAGGAAATCTGATTTTTAACCATGGCCTGCTTTCTGCTCAACTTGAATGCGAGACTTGAAGCCATATAATTTTTCTTTAGCTCTGAATTGAATAGGCAATCAAATAAATAAAAGAATGTTCCTTCTCCAGTCCAGAAAGCTCAGGGAAAATTACTGCCAAATGGTAGTAAATTGGTTATCTTTATGGATCGAGTAACAACTACATTCTATCCTTCCTTTAAAATTCATAAATGCCTCATGTTTCATCTCTAAACCACCCTTGAAAACAGGTAAGATAACATTTATATAAAAATAGCACAGTTCTAACATTGATCCGATCTGGTGAGCAGAATGACAAATGTGTGTTCCTTCTACCCTTGCTTTTAGCTGACTCATAGCCAAAGCTAATAAAAAGTGACAATTACATATGAGTCAGATGAGAAGTACAGTCAATCTGCTTCAGTCTGTAGCATGTTAAAAAAAACATTCAGTCTCTGTGTTTCTTTATGACTCTTTGTTTCTGTGGTTATTTTATGTGACTTATGGGAAATCTTGGCCTAAGTTTTATTTCCTAGATATGGAACAAAGTTTGGTAGTGTACCTGATGAGATCAAGCACCATTATCAAGAGAAAACCATCTGAAAGTCAGAGCTTTCATTATCCATGGATATTTATACCTTGTACTACATGCACGAATATTTACATTAGAGGAAACAGGAAGAAACAGCAGAAGGGAATAATGGTGAAAACAGCACTGGTAAAAGTTAGGACCAAGATCAATAAACAGTAGCTATGTCAGTCACGGGTAAAGGAAAGCTCCTTTAGTTCCTGTTCTCATCACCCCCAAAATTTCTAAAGACTTGCCAGTGTTGAGACGCCAACCAATCTGATCTTAATTTCATAATTAGTGCTTCCCTCATTTAGTTTGAGCCAAAGAGAAATCCCCCCTTGGACTTGTGTCTGGCAGAGGGGGCTTATATATTTTAAGTCTAACTTCTAACTATATTTAATAAATACATTAAATTTTACACAAACACAGAGATAAATAAAGTCAATACATTAAATTAATAGTATTCAAGAATAAGAGAAAAGCAGTTCACCTACCTAGGATGGTTACTTCAAAATGGCCAAGGCTTCGAGCACTCGGAAATTCACTGAGTTTGGGGGGGTTTCCTTCTGAGGGTACATACTTTGCAGGCTGAGTATTAAACTGCTGGGCGAGAAACTTCCCATGCTCGGAAATAAATTTCCGTGGAATACTTTCAGGATAAACACGACTGTAGTGTAGGTGGTCTCTCAAGCTGCACTTCTTGTCTCTCCACAGCTGACTCTCCCATCTGTCACTTGCTACTCTTCTGGACTTCCCTCTGGAACCAGCACTTGAACTTTCTTGACCTGTCGAAAGCACAATGGGACAAGCACAATGGGCCCATAGACTAGCTAAATGGAGGCATTCATTACATTACAGATTAACGCAGAAGAGTTCAGCAGCTTTAAGATGAAAATTGAGTATCCAAAAGGTAATTCTTATTGAAGTAAGGAAAGAGGAGTCTGGAGTAATGGCTCAGTGGTTAAGAGCACTTGTTCTTGCAGAGGACCTAGGTTCAATTCCCAGTACTCACATAATGGTTTACAACAGTCCATAACCCCAGTCTCAGGGGATTCAGCACCCTCTTCTGACCTATGCAAGCACTAGGAACATGTGTGGTGCAACAACATACGTGCAGGCAAAACAACCATATACATAAAATAAAAAAATTTAAAATGTGCAAAAGTTTTGAAAAATGTTCAGAAAAAATTAAATTTGTTTCTAAATAAATTTTCCTCCAAAATTATGAGTGATGCAGTTTTCTCATTTGTTGGAATTGTGAAGATCTTCTTAAGAGTATTTCTCCATTTCCCAAATACTCTTGAATAAACATGTTCCTTTTATTGTATGTAATTCAACCAAAGTGAAATCAAATTCATTACAACAGCAATATAGTAATATTCATCCATTTCTTTGTGTCAGTAGCTTCAACTGTCAATTTGATATAGCCCAGAGTCAGCTGAGAGCATCTCAAGTTGGGGACTGTCCAGATTAGGCTGTTCTGCAGCCAAGTCTGTGAGAAATTACCATAACTGTAGGCAGTTGAATTCCTGGGCTATAAGACAGTTTAGCAAGCCAAAGGAAGCGAGTCAATAAGAAGCGTTCCTTTATAGCCTCTCCTTCAGCTCCTGCCCCCTTCAGCTCCTGCCTTCTGGTTCCTGTCTTGAGTTCCTGCCTTTAGATTCCCACCATGATGGACTCTCACACGTACATCAAATAAATCCCTTTGTCCCCCAAGTTGCTTTTGATTAGTGTTTTATCACAGCAACAGAGTAGCACACAGGTATCATTTGTATTTTTATAGAGTCTCATGTAGTCCAGGTTGGACTATTAACTCAGTATACACCTGAAACTTGCCTTGAACCTCTGGTCATTCTCCATTGGGCTCTTGAGAGGCTCTCAAAGGTTGGGGTTGTAGGTGTGTGCCAGGTAACTATGGAAATCATTCATTATCGGTAGAAACCATGTCCAAAATAAAACTTAATTTCTGCTAAAAGTAATCTGACAAATACTGTTTTTTGTCGAATAGCATTTCTCCTGCAAAAATTTACATCTAGTGTGTGTGATACTCCTTCTAGATACACATGGCTTATGATGAGGGAAAAGAGAAATAAATTGAGATTAAATATGTCAGGACTTGGGCTGGTGAAATGGCTCTTTGGGCAATGGTGGTTGCTACTGAGCTTGACGATCTGAATTCAGTCCCCTAGGCCTCAACATGGTGTGAAGAGACAACTCTCACAAACTGTCCTCTGATTTCTACATGTGAGCTGTGGTGTGCACACATGCATACACAATCAAATGTTAAAAGGAGGTCTCTATTACTATTCTTTGTTTTTGTGTATAATATATGCATGCATATATATATGTATATACACACACACACACACGTGTGTGTGTGTGTGTGTGTGTGTGTGTGTGTGTGTGTGTGCATAGAGGGCCAGAAGTTGATGTTGAGTATTTTCCTATATTGCTCTCCACCTTATCTTTTGAGACAGGTTCTTTAACTGAACCTGAAACTTACTTATTGTCTGGACTGGCTGGCCAGCAACCTCCAGGTATCTTGCCTGCTCTGTCTCCACGGCAGTGGAATTACAGGTATGTTCTCTGCTTGTCCTTTTGAGTGGGTGCTAGGGATCTGAGCTCAGTTTGTCAGCCTTGCAGGACAAGTGCCTTGTTGACTGAGCCATTTCCTTAGGCCCCTATTTGTTTGCTACTAAGAAACCAGTTTATTATCTATGTGCAATGCAACTGCTATGTTTGGTTTCTAAAGTAGAATATATGTTATCCCTCACACAGTATGAGAGTTGTTCAACAGTTATTGTGTACCTGTTATACATCAGACATTGTGCTAAGAAATTTGGTACGACTAATTTTGGATTGAATAACACACCTTTGGGCATAAAGACATATTCATGCTAAAATCAGAACAGAAATTAGATGTAAAAATAAGACTCTCATGTTGTCAGTTCTACTAAGACAAGCTATGCACAACTGCATTTTGAAGTTAATCAAGTTTGCCAAGTTGCTTCTTTACAATTGTTTTGTGTCCTGTTGTCACTTCCTGTTCTAGCATAAGAAGCCTTGATGAGACAGAGCAACAAGGCTTTACCATGGTTAATACACCACTATTGGCATTTCAGATTTTATCCTCTATCAAAATCCATGCACCAAGCACAGTTCTTGGCTTTTTAAATTAGCTGGACATCTACTGAAAAAAAAATGATTCATGTTAAAAGCATCAGAAGAAAGGCTATAGAAATTGAACACAAACTTCTGTTCATCAGGAATCTAAAACACTGCAGTGCCACAGGAGTTATTTTAAGTTTAAAATCAGGCTTATGGATGTTCCTATGGTGAGTATTGATAAGGAAATGGATAAAAAAATGAAACACATGAAAAAAAAGGAATATACTCCAAGGAAACAGGCTTAAACAGAAGATTGAGAACTGATTTTACTTTTTAAATTCCCTCTAAATAAATCCCTTTTATTTAAACTAATAGAAGTACTTGGGACAACCAGAAGTACCTGAGCATAGTGGCACAGCCTATAATCTTAACATTTCAAAAACTGAAAGTCAGAGGCATGAGAATTGTGACTTAACACAGGCGGGCTGTGTTAGTGAGACACTGTCTAAAAGAAAAAGGTGAAGAGCAGCAGCAACAGCAAGTAACTTACTCAATGACCCACACCACACTGAACATTCCCACAGCATGATTAAGTCATATAGTATCTTAATCTTTTAAAAATAAACACTTATCTTACCTTATGGAAAATATTACATTATTGAACTTGTCAGGACTAAGTCATGAGCACACACCCACACACACCCATACCCTCCCCCCCCACAAAATGTATTACTAGAGACTATAAGGGTAAATACATGTTTTATGAAAATTTCTCCTAAAACCATGCTTTATATTTTTATCTTAGCAATTTCAGATTATAATTTCCTACTTCAGTTATATATTCCTAACAAAGGAATATCAAAGAAGTACAGGCAACACTCGCATTTACAGGTGTTCAAGAAAATTGAGAAAGAGACAAAATATAAAAGACTTCGCGTTTTTCTAAAAATGAGATGAAGAATCATAAACTAGAATACTTTTATGTTTAGTTTGAGCACTACTAGCATTAACATACAAATACACATTTGTTTATCATGTGAAAAATGGAAATACATGTCATTAAATAAATAAAAAAGTTCCTCCTGTGGGCTAGAGAGATGGCTCAATAGCTCAGAGCATGGCTACTCTTGAAGGGAACCTGGGTTCAGTTCCCAGAACCCACACAGCAGCTCACAATCGTTTGTAATTCCAGTCCTGAGGATCTGATGCAGACATACATGCAGGCAAAACACCCATACACACAAAATAAAATAATTTTAAATAAATAAATAAAAATAGCCATCCAGAGTGAGAGGGATAGGACAGGAGATAGGAACCATGTAAAAAATTAAAGTTCTTTCAATTTGTGCTCTTTGGTAGAGTTGACTTTGGAACTATGTTAATAATTAACCAAATGATAAAACAAGTATTATCTGAATATATTTAAAGAAATCAATCCCTAGCATTAAGATAAAAGAAGTGAGCTTAAATATCCACCCAGTTTATAAGAGACCCATTCAGAAAGGAATATTACAAGTTATCAAGCTATAATAGTGGGGTACACCATAAAAACAAAAGGAATTGCAAAAAAACACTTGGAACATTATTCTGGGCTTCTTAAATTTGCGGTTGGTGTTATAGTTTTGACATGTCCCCAAAAGGTTCAGGTGTTGAAGGCTTGCTTCCCAACTGGTGGGTCTATTTATTGAGAGGTGACTGAACAACGAGGACTCAGGTCTAACCAAAGGATCTGGCCCTTGTTGCTTTTCAGATCTGCAAACCCTTGATGGCCTGGGAAGTTTCACGGGTGTTCTTAAAGTAAACACAAAGATTTGCAGTTCTTGATTTGAGTGGTTTTATAGGGATTTCTGGGTCATGAGAACAGGAAACCATTTTCACAGGTCACATCAGGCTTCTTATGGGAAAAGGAAGAGCAGAATCCGATTCTTGCCCTGAAATAGGTTTCCTTTATTTTTAATCTTGTATTTGAAAATTATTTGTTGATTCAAATTGGAAGTATACTTGTGAAATTACATTTTGTCTTAACACTAACTAACTAAATACCTAATAACCAATAAGGTAAGGAAGCACTTTTTCTCACTCTGCCCTCTGTAAATGCTTAGAAACAACAGCTAGCCAAGCGTATATTCAAACCTATAATGCCTTGTCTGTAAATGCTAACTGCTACAGCTCTGTGGGGGAATGGTTGATTTCATGTCTGCGGAAAGAATGTGAGAGAGGAGTCTGTAAACACGCTGAAAAAACCAATAGGAAAATTCTTCCATCCCCCCCCACCGCTATCATACATCATGACGGTCATATGAACAGTATAAGCATAAATGAAGAATGTCTGACCCACAAATTTGGCAGATTGTCACTAGTAATGGTAGTGATAACAAAAACAAAACAAAACAAAACTAAAACCAAACCAAAACAAAACAAACCACCAAAAGAAGCAAAACCGAAGCAAAGCAACAGCAACCAGTCTACCCTACAACTGATCAGTTCTGGAGAATACTTGGGATGTGAATCATTATTCTGGAAACTGACAAAGAAAAGCAGAAAGTACATTTTTCTTCTTAAGTAAATGAAATACATCCTATGACCATTTGGAACTAAGCATTTATCATCAGTACCTGACAACATTAAGAAACAAGGAAACTTTATAGCCCTCTAGAAAAGTGTTGAGTGTGTTAAA